TGCTTGGAAGTTGAAGGTGGTGAACTGGGAACAGAGCTATTGGCAGTGATTGAGTTTATTGCTCCATATTCTTCTGCCTCCCTTCTGTCTAACATGCAATTTGACACTTCCATTTTCTTTGCTAACTCACCCTCAATTACCTTTTCAATTTTCACATCAAATAAAAGTTCATTAATATGCCTTAAAACACTTTCTTCATATGATCATATGAACTTAGTTTGGTTAAAAAGTGCTTTGACATCAACAATTTTGAGTTTGGACATTTTTTCGAAAAACTTTTCACATAAATGGAAGTTCATTGGCTGATTTAAGAATACGAGCCCGTTTGATAACAGAAATCGGCTGAATCGGCTGATTCTGCTGAAATTTACGAAGTTCTGGCTAAAATGACTGTATTGACCGATTCTGCATATTATTAATAAATTAAACGGGTATTAGCCCTAAATAGGAGTAAAATAAGCCCAAAATTCAACATTAGGAGTACAATCCTTTTATTCCCAAAATAGGACTAATATATATCCCTTCTTCTCATTCTACCCCCTTCCTATAATTTCCAATAGATTTATTTTATTAATAAGAAAATCATAGTTTTATTTATAAAAAATATAAAAAATAATAAAATATTTATAAAATAATAATGAAAACGTGAAAAAATAAAATAAAAACTAAAAAAAAATATTTAATTTTTTTTAAAAAAGTCCAAAAATAAAATAAAATACCTAAAAAATATTTAAAAAATATGTACATCATTGCCAACGCGGCCTCTACCTCCCAGCACCATCGACTCCGGTCGCCGGAAGAAAATGCCATCTTGTGTAAAAAATGCCACATTTCTCTGAAAATGTCATAAAGATAGGCATTTTTACTCTTTGAAAATATCCAGCTTTCTCTTGCTTTCTCTTCAAAATTGTCATGACATTTTTTCCCCAACTTGGCAATCTTTTTCGGCGACCGGAGGTGGCGGTGCTGGAAGGTGGCTGAGGTGGTGGTTGAGGTCTATATGTGTTTTAATTATTTTTTACGATTTTTTTTTGTTTTTTATATATTTTATAATGATTGTTTAAAAATCCTATTATCAAGGACAAAGGAAAGGGTAGAATAAGAAGATTTAGTCCTATTTTAGGAATTTAAACTTTAAACTTTAAACTCCTTTGATTTACTCCTATTTAGGTAAATATCCCTAAATTAAATTTAAAATATATTTTATTAATAAAATAAACAAAAAAATGAAAAAGATCTAAAATAGTCATTTACATTAACTTCAACCAATATAACAAAAAAAGCAACTTCAACGTTACGTTTTCTTATTATTACACAATCAGTGTGTGAAATCAAAAGTTATGTATTTGGTTAAAAAGCTAATTGATAAACCTGATCAGGACAGAAAATTGAGTCACCAAACACGCTCTTAGTTTAAATGTTCTCCACAGTGAGTATTTTTTTTAACCTCTCCATAGTGAGTTAGAAAAGGTAAAACTTAAAAGCAACAAACCAATGTGTTTGACAAAACTAGAATTCAAAAATGAGAAACTGTTTCGATGCTTCAAAACTCCTTTGACTTTAAAAAAGGTGAATCCAAACGGGCGCATCTCCATCCCGCAAAAAGAGTGAGGTTTCTAATACTAAATTCAATATTCTTATTTGACGTAGTGTTTTGACTTTTCAAGTTTTTATTAAAGTAAACATATTGTGGTCGAAATTAGTTTAGAAAAGTGAAAGAAGGGAAAATATATCAGCAAGATGAAATTTAATTTCTTGGAAATAGAAAAAAAATAAAAGAATGTATTTTATTTTAGGTAGAGTAATAAAAAACTAAAATAACAAATAAATGTCAGGGTAAAAGTAAAAATTTGATTATATTTGTGCTTTCATTATCGTTTCAGTACACCTATTCCTTGTTCAAAGTTCTTACATGTTTTAGTGAGGCCGAATTTGAGGGCCCCGGTTAAAAGTGTAAAATCGAGGTCCCACATTTCTATAAAAAATTAAAAAAAAACTCAATTTAAATACTTATACTCAAATCAATTGATTACTGATGAAAAGAAACTAAAATAGTAAAATAATCAATGAAAAAAATGATGAATCTGTATTTTTTTTCCTTACTCGGTAACTATATTTTACTGATTAGTATTAATATATAATATTACTATATAATATTACTAAATTTTTAAAAATTTGGGGACCTATAAATTCGGGGGCTCTGTTCAGAATAACCTAATGAACTCCCTAAAAAACGGCCTTGTTTTTAGGAGGTCCATAAATAAGTTATAAATGTTGTCGGTACACATATTTTGTACATATATTGTATACATCTTCCCTAGTTGTCTTTCTACACCGGCAATTAATTCAGAAGCTGCCTTGTAAATAAACAATTAGATGGATGTACACAAAAATTGTACAAAATATCAAGCATGGTTCTAAATAGGTTCACCTATCCTAATATGATAAAGAAAGTCTTATCAATTTACAATATTACTCTCAATAATAAGATATTCAAACTTAGACATATTTTTAACAATGTACTCTAGATTACTTCATGGACTAAAGAAGGATAATTACTTCTAGATTACTTCTAGATTACAAAGCATTTAAAAAAATCAAATTTCTGTAAGTGCATATCTGGTAGAAAATCGTAGTCTTCAAACTTTTATACAAAACAACATTTAAAAGTTCTAAAGTATTTTAGTACTACAGTTTTTTAGAATTTTTGAGTTACTAAAGACTAAAAATTACAGTAATAAACACTGAAAATGAATTTTTAGCTCCAAACATACATTAAACTACAGTCAAACCAAAACTTATTGATGGGATGGCATGGAAGTTGGAAGGACTAAGATCTTAGAATAAAGGAGACATATTAAAAATATGGGATGAAAGACAAGTTTAACAGTAATAAGCAAACTGAAGTTTAAGCATGAAAGAAAAGTTTAATTCTTAGATTTCTTACATTTGTGGATTGATCAAGAGAACCATTGATCAAGGAGTTTGTTTCAGAGAGATCATCCTGTTGACATTTTTCACAGGACGATCCACTGAACTTTTCCAGAATCCTTTTCTGCAACAGACAAGCTTGCTTATCAAAGTCACTGCACTTCTTCTCCAAATCCCTGTTCTTCTTGGAGTTCCTTTTCAGCTCCTCCACCTTCTCTCCCAAATCCTCAATCTCTTCCTCTCCAATGGCCTCCACTTTCTTTCCTTCAAACCCTTCCTTCTTTCCCTACATATCCAACATTACAATTTCAGAAATGGATAAAAAATCAAAGAAAAGAAAAAATAGAGATTGGGTATTGGGTGGGAGGCTGCTAACCAGAATCTGAACGGCCGATCTCAGAGTAGTCTCCGTTTGTGCTCTGTTTCTCTCAAGCTTCTTCAGAGCAAACTCTCTCTCCATCCTCAGGAAATCACACGCCGCCTGAAACATCGCCGCTTCGCCATCGCCGCGGTCGATTCTCTCTGTTTTATGGGTGGACGAAGCAGAGTTCAGAACCACAATGGGGACATCGCCGGTAGCCGAGAACTCTCCCCCATGGATGAAGAAGTTCTCCAGGTCCTCCTGGTAGTACTCGTTGTGAAGCTCCGTGGGTGAGAGCGAGTGGCGGCGCCGTTTCTGGTCGGCGGAGAAAGGGAGTTTCTTGGCGGTGGTTTTGGGGCTTTTCCGGCGAGGTCTTCTTGGCAAGTGGATGATTTTGGGGCTGTGGGGAGGCGGAGGCGGCGATGGGTGCGGCCATTTGAGCCTTCTTGATGGTGTGGGGGTCGACATTATTAGTAAATTCTATTTTATTTATGATTCTCCCGGCGGAAGTCAAAAAATGGTACGAAGAGCAGAGTGAAGGTACAGAGTCAGTGGGATGGAATTTGAATTTAACGGCAGGGGAGATAAGAAGAAGAGAGGCCTTCCTTTTCGTATATATAGTGGCGCAGTAGTGGATGGGTTAGGAACAACTCTTTCTCTTTTCACAGTAGGGGACAACCCTAAAATAACGTTGGTTGTTTGTCAAATGACGCTAGAAAAAACCTCATTGACTTTTAATCCCTCCCTCCCCTAGAGTTTTGGTTAATCAATGTGGACTTGAGCTGTTTATGATTGAAATCTTCATTTTGACTAATTTTGGGCTCCACACCGTTTTTTGAAATGGGGATAGAGTCACTCATTCTATGTGGTTGGGTAAGATTACTTAGATAAGCCGTTAACATTCGGGGTTTCAACCTAAAAGGCTAACGTGATAGGAGAAGTAGCTTAAAACCTTATATAGTGACTTATTGTTTTATAGCTTTCCGGTGTAGGACAAATACTTTAACACGCCCTCTCAGCCCAAACCAGACTGGACGATATCGCGATGTATAAATGGACCAAACAGACCCTTAACAAACTACCCGTAATCGTGGGTGCTAAACAAGCAGTCAAACCATAACCGGAATTGGCTCTGATACCATGTTAAGACCCGAGGTTCCATTCTAAAAGGTCAATCTGATAGGAGGAGTAACTCAAAGCCTTATATAGTATTTTATTATTTTATAGCTTTCCGGTGTGAGAGAAATACTTTAACATAAGCGGTACCATACATGTCAAGCACGTCTGATAAGACCCATCGTGTGGCCACCTAATTAGAGTAAGTCAATGTGTATAGAAACATTTAGACTAATTGGTGAGAGAACTTATTGATTGATTAATTGATTCTGTTGAGTTTTTTTCCGGATTAATGTTAATTAATTAAACAATTACGGAATTAATGACGGGTTAAAACTATTTACCGATATACTGCTGGACTTAACCTTGGTCTGGCAAAGTCGCCAAACGGTTTGACGACTTATAAGTCGCCAAACGGTTTGACGACTTATAAGTCGCCAAACGGTTTGACGACTTTGTCTTTAACACAGACGGGTCGCCCAGCCTTTGACAGACAAAACGAAACTTCCCCCAAAAAAAAGAGTCCAGCGATTCACTCCCATCCGGCGATTATTCGAGCTACTCTCCAGCGACGCCACCTTGCCAAGGATTCTCCACCTCCATCTTCTTCAACACTCTTTCTTCTAGGTAAATCATACTTCATTTCATCTCATTTTGAAGTTAAGGTTTAGAATGTAAAAATTTCGAATTTAGATTAAGAATTAATTTGTAAATTGATTTGTTGTGAAATGTGGATATTATGTTGAGTGTTAATGTTGAATTAAATGTAATATTTTGATTTTGTTGTGGATTTGTTGTGTATTATTAAAGTGAATGTTAATGAAAATTTTGATTTTTTATGTAATAATTTTGCATTGTTAGGTGGATGATATAGTATTAGCACATGTTAGAGCGGCAGGTTTTTATGGTGTTCACATATTGGTGGCTACTGTCCCACTTGATAGAGCGCTACTCACTGCTCTTCTTGAGCGTTGGAGGCAGGAGACACACACATTTCACCTCCCAGTTGGTGAGGTGGTAGTGACCTTGGGAGATGTGGCCGTATTGACTGGGTTACAGGTCCATGGGAGAGCAGTTACAGGTACTGCGTGTCGACCATGGGTTGAGGATGTTGAGCGCTTGTTGGGTGTTCGCCCACTTCTTAGGACAGAGATTCATGGGTCATCTCTGAAGATGTCATGGTTTAGGGAGCATTTCGTTGTTCTTCATCCGAACGTTGATGAGGTGATCATTCAGCAGCATGCACGAGCATACATTTTCATGCTTATGGGAGCTTCCGTTTTTGCTGACAAGAGTGGAAATGAGGTTCAGGTCCTACACTTGCCGATCCTAGAGAGATTTGATGTAGCTGCACACTTCAATTGGGGTAGTGCCACGTTGGCTTATCTGTATAGGCAGTTGTGTCGCGGTTGTCAGAATGGGAGCACGGAGGTTGGGGGTTTTCTACTTCTATTGCAGATTTGGTCATGGGAGTACATACACATTGGCCGTCCCATTATAGTACGATACCATGAGCTTGATGGAGAACCACTTCATCATGATCAGCCTCCACATCTTCTTGGACCACATCATCGACGGGGCGAGAACCCATTGGGGCGTCGGTATGTTTTACTCGATTATATTTATGTTACTGTAAGTATAATATAGTTGTATTAATTATAATTGTATTAATATATACTACATGAATGGTTAGATGGGTATTTGCTGACATGTGTCACACATCATCAACTTCTGGTCTCGGTTTCTACAGGGATGCATTTGATCGCATGTCTGAGGAAGCCTACAGAGGATTGGTCGCTCAGACATGCCCGATACGTGGCTATATGGGATAGGCGAGCGGAGCTTGTTGTGACTGGGACACCGACATTTGTCTCATCTGTTTCTGCAGACTACAAGATATGGTATTACAGCATCACACGGGTGTTTGTATCTCCATCTTTCAGATTCCCTACTCACCACTATTAGCCCAGTTCCATGCCTTTGCACTTGACGGTGAGTGTGCTCTTAATTATTAAAGTAATTCATGTTCTTTATTTAACATTTTTAATTTATTTCAAAGTAATTATATTTCATTTTTCACATTTCAGACATGGGATTTGCAGCATATACATGAGCGAGCGACTGCCACAGTTAGTGAGACGCATGACATGGACACGTACCATCAGGTTCTAACGGGCATTGCTTCCTTGTGTTCGGATATGTTGGGGCGAGTGGACTATATATGGACATCTTCAAAATATGACCCCCTCTCAGGATTCTACACCATCGACATCAAAAGCAACAACAGCTTCTACATCTCAGACTCAGCGTGACAGAGTTGTTCTTCAGCCACGTCAGCGGCGTAGGCGTATGCGTCAACAGCCACACCTCCATGACCAGGATGACCAAGAAGACCTTCATAACTTGTAGTCTGTCTCCATTATTGGACTTATTCATGTAGTCCGAATATGTAGATTTTTTTAATTTGTGAAACACTTTACTTTATGACGTATGTCCACCTCCAAAGTATTGAATTTTAGTTATTTAATAATTTGTTTTTTATGTGTTCATGTGTTGGGTTATGCAAATGTGTTGATGCATGTGCTCATGTGTTGAATTTTGTTAGACTTTTGTTTTTGTTAGAGCATCTCCAATGCTATAATGTGCACGGTGCACATGTGACATGAAAGAGATAGACACAAAAGATTGATTTTATGACATTTCTCTCTTCGTCTTTCCGTGGTCTTATATGTTTTTGGTAAGTTTTTTCCTGCAATGTCAACCACAATGTCTACATCTAGACAATGTGCTTGACATTGTGAAGAAAAACTTACCAAAATGATATAAGATCCTTCAAATAACGAGAGAGATATTCTATTTATTATTTTGCATTGGCTATCTCGCATGCCACGTATGCACCGTTAACGTTTTAGCATTGAAGATGCTCTTATGTGTTTCTGACCACGATTTTCAAAATGTGTTTGATTTTCATCTGTTTTCTAAAGTTGCTGGTTGTGCAGATCCAGGGGGAAAGTCGCCAAACTGTTTGGCGACTTATAAGTCGTCATCCGGTTTGACGACTTATAAGTTGCCAAACGATTTGACGACTTTCCCCGACCAGAGTTAACTCCAGCAGTATATTGATAAATAGTTTTAATCCAACATTAATTCCGCAATTATTTAATTAATTAACTTTAATCCGGAAAAAAACTCCATTATGTTGGTATATGTACGTGAATGCACGGGTGGCCACATGTATACAAAATGACAGCTAGTTTGTTGGGACAGATTTGGTCGATTAGCTTATCAAATTTACAATAAGTACTCATACATACACACATTACTCATGGAACTATTTATTTGTCATCCGTGCAACACACATACCACTTATCCTATGCATAAAAAAAACCTCTTGTGCAAAATTAAAGACACGTGAATTCCCTTCTACCTATCCATAATGCACTGCACCGCACCTTTTTTGGTGACCATTTTTTTTTACGAAATATTATTAATCAAAATATCACCACATTTTTTAATCAAGTTGATTAATTATTGGCGCATTTATTAGATCTTAAATTGGACACTTTAATTCGTTTTTATTGTGCATGGAAAGATGAATTTCTATTGAGAGAATTTCCCAAATGGGACTAAAACTTGGTTAAAACTCCAAAGTAGGACATTAAGTTTTTTATTACCTAAATAGGACTTTTAATTACCGATCAGACAAAATTGCCCTTAATGAATTTAGCGCATGATCTTTAGACTTCCGACTACTCTGTTGCGGTGCCCTGCACCGATAACTTCATATTGCCGGCACCACCACCCTCTGCGCAAGGCTTCAGTGCACAGACTTCCACCGTCGTTGGCTGATTGCCGCCGCCTGGGTGATTGCTGCCACCTAGGTGAACGCCGTAGCTGCCTGGCATGAGTTACAAGATAAGATCGCCATTGTATATCTCTTGTAAGATGGATTCCACTGCCCTCTTTTGTAAAAAAAATGTCACCTTTGTTCCCAAAATGTCATGAAGATGACATTTCCATATTTAAAAACATGGCAGTCGTGGAGAATGTCAAGTTGGTGCCATTTTTACTCTTTATAAATGTCAAATAAAAACTGTCATCTTGGTAAATGTAATGTCAAAGCAGTGACATTTTTTTCAAATGAGTGTTCAATAAAATAACAATTATGCCATTTGCAGGTCCAATTAGTGAGAAAAATAGTATGAACGATTTAAAGTGAATTAGATGGAATTTATAAAAAATGAAGAGAAATGACTTTCACAATTCAAAATTTTATTCAAAATTTGATTGATAAAAAACTAAAAATAATGTTAAAATAATGTTGGCATTTTGGAATAGAAAGATGACATTTACAAAAGGAGAAGAAGAAGAGCAAGAAGAAGAAGAACAAGAAGGAGAAGGAGATGGAGGAGAAGAAGAAAAAAGAAGAAGAAGAAGAAGAAGAAGAAGGAGAAGGAAAAGAATACCTGATTTTGCTGGAGATGGCGTCCGGCGTCGAGCAGGCAGCTGCGATGATAGGCCAGCGTCGTGTTGCGAACTTGCGATCAATGGAGGTTGAGCTGCGATCGAGTTGCGAACAGTTGAGCTGCGTCCTCTGGCGAGCGATGCAGAGGGATTTGGGGAAAAGGTGATTTAGGGATTAGGGGCAAAAAGGTAATGTGGAGTCCCATTTAGGAAATTTAAAACTTGAAGTCCTATTTTGGAGTTTTAACCATGTTTTAGTCCCATTTAATATAAAATCTTATTTCTATTTGAACCAAATATTATACTCCCTCCGTTCCTATTATATCTTCCAACTTTCCTTTTTCATTCGTTCCAATTAAACTTCCACTTTCCCCTTTTGGTAAAGAATTTGTGGTTCACAACATTTCTTACACATTTCTCTTTCCTCTGCACAACTCTCCACCACACAATACCTACTTTTCTTAAATTGTGTGCCCATAGGAAATGGAAGATAAAATGGGTACGGAGGGAGTACATACTTGTATATGTATTAACTCCGTGACAATGTGCTAACTGATTTTGACCCACGCCATAGTTTGTGTGTCGTCTGGCGTTGAGAATAGTTATAGATTTGAAGAATTATATATATATACTTGGTCTCATATATACACTACATACACTAGATTATGTTGGGATTAATTAATTAATCTTAATTAGTTTACTTCCTAGGGAACATAAATTATCTTTCCCTACTTTTATTGGAGAGATGAAAGGTCTTCTTGGAAAGGTAAATTGTATTTCCTAGGGATTATTTTACTCCTCTTGTAATGCCTATATAAGGCCACCAATTGTAATGTTTTATCAAGTGGAATATAATACATTCTCCTCCATTCCTTTGAGTTGTAAGTTAGCCAAACACTTAGAATATTTTTCGGATATTTGGGGCCTTCAAATTGGTATCAGAGCCACTGTTGAAGAAGAAGATGGCAGCCACCATGTTCGGCCAACTACCCCAATTGAAGAAAGCAAACTTCGACCGATGGAATGCTCAAATGAGAGCACTGTTGAAGTCACAAGGAGTATGGGATGTTGTCGATAATGGCTACACAACACCGGAGGAAGGAACCGTCTTGACGGTTGCCCAACAAGTGGAACTCGAAGGAGCACAAAAGAAGGACCAAACGGCACTGTTTTGGTTGCTTCAAGCAGTGGATGACACCATCCACGAGAAGATAGCCGATGCCGAAACTTCAAAAGAAGCTTGGGACATCATCGAAAGAGTGTTCAAAGGAGGGGAAAGAGTAAAGCAAGTGAGGTTGCAAACTCTACGAGGAGAGTTGGAGACTATGCGGATGAAAGAGAACGAGAAGGTCACCGAGTACATTAATCGGGTGATGACCATAGCAAACCATATGAAGAGAAATGGTGAAACCGTAAGTGAGAGTCGGATAGTAGAAAAAATTCTACGAACACTTACGGACAAATTCGAGAACGTGGTATGCGCAATCGAAGAAGCTAGAAATATTGAGACGCTTACCATTGACGACCTGTCGGGGTCGTTGGAGGCACATGAACAAAGAAAGATGAAGCGGCTAGAATCGCTTGAAGAGGCATTACAAACTGTGGTGGTAGAGGAGAAGGCAATGTATGCCCATCAACCGAGAGGCCGAGGCCGAGGTCACTTCCGTGGTCGGGGCCAAGGAAGAGGAGACTACAACCGAGAGGAGAATACCCACCAGAACCGGGAGGACCAACATCGCCCGACCTGGAGAGGCCGAGGCAGAGGAGCTGCCCGAGGCGGTCGGGGAGGCAGACCCGATGGGGAATGCTACAATTGCGGGAAACGGGGACATTTCGCAAGAGACTGTTGGTCGAAACCAAAACCGGAGGAGAATCTAAATGTTGCTGAGCATGAGGATGATGATGGAGATGAGGAAGGAGTGCTCTTACTAGCACACAAAGAAGGAAGCTTAACAGACGACGCTACGTGGTACTTGGATACCGGGGCGAGCAACCACATGAGTGGTTATAAACATTTATTCACTGAGCTGAAGGAGGCTGAGGGAGGAAATGTATCTTTTGGAGATACATCAAAAGTAGTTATCAAAGGCCGAGGAAAGGTTAAATTTCTGCAAAAGAATGGACAAGAGGGGACGATTGAAAACGTACTCTATGTCCCGAGCATGAAGACAAATATCATAAGCATGGGACAGCTTATGTAGAAAGGGTATTCAGCCGACCTAAATGGTCGATACCTACACTTGAAGGATAGACGAGGTCGGGCCGTCGCCCGGGTAGAGATGGCCAAGAACAGAATGTACAAGTTGGACTTGAGAAGCGTAAACCATAAGTGCTTGAAAGTCGACCTGACGGACAAGTCACTATTATGGCACCTACGTTTCGGACATTTGAACTTTGGAGGATTAGCCGAGCTGAGCAAAAAGGGCTTGGTGCATGGACTACCCGAGATGGATTTTCCAAAGCAATTCTGTGAAAGCTGCGTACTTGGGAAATACACCCGGACAAGCTTTCAGAAGACTGCCAAGTACCGAGCCAAGGGAGCATTGGAGACAGTCCATACGGACATTTGTGGGCCGATCACGCCATCATCTTTCAGTGGGTGAAGGTACTTTATCACCTTTATTGATGACTACACCAGGAAGACTTGGGTATATTTTCTAAAAGAAAAATCGGAGGCCTTTAAAACATTCAAAAATTTCAAAGCCGAGGTGGAGAAGACAATCGGGCTGAAGGTGAAAGCGTTGAGGTCAGACCGGGGGGGAGAATACATTTCAGACTCTTTTACAAAGTTTTGTGAAGAGGAAGGAATTAGAAGATTCCTTACCGCCCCGTACTCGCCTCAACAGAACGGGGTGGCCGAGCGAAAAAACCGGAGCATTATGGACATGGTAAGATCCATGCTCAAGAGCAAAAATATGCCAAAGCAATTTTGGGCCGAGGCGGTACGATGTGCGGTGTATGTACAGAACAGGTGTCCACACTCAAATCTTGAAAATCTAACACCTCAAGAAGCATGGAGTGGTCAAAAGCCGACC